GTTTGCTTGGATAAATGCGTGTGTGTGTGTGTGCCATAGATGTAAGATGTTATGCACAAACTGCATTTGTGTATATGTATGCATCCATTTGAAACACTCCATTGGGTATTAGAGCTTTAAGAGTCTTTTTCATCTTTATATGATGCGGTAGATAATATTTTTTTATCTTATCTTGTGGCTGCATAGGGCCACAGACCAGGAGACAAACATGTTCCTAGTAGGATCTGGGTCAAGCCAACAGTTGTATATCGTATACAGTACAAGATGCAAAGAACGTTACGTCAGTGCCCGATTCTGTCCTATACTGCTCCATTAAAACCAAAACAGAGTGTAGACAATACTGCATATGACATGCATGAATGACATGTTCTGCACTTAAACCTTTTCAAGTTGCCCTAAAGCAATTCTGCTTTTCGTCGCACCTTCCACACGCACTTTTTGGATTTTAGCAATATTACATGAGAGGGTGTTACGTAACCCCATTTGTGGCATGACGGTGATGTGGTCAGAACCGAGGCCTTTGCACCGAGGTCTGCAAGTGTCACTGAAGTGCTACAAATGAAGTTAAAGCACACTGTCTTGTGCAATGTTGTGATTATACAACTATTACCAACAAAGTAAAATATATAATCAAAATATATGGTGTTGAGGGGCAGTTGGCTCTCAAGGTAAAAGAAAACATTTTTAACTGTAGTCTCCATTTCCATGGAAATACATGGGGTCTGACTAATAACCGGAAAGCAATCAGTCACGTCACTAGACTCCTATATGCAAGGGAACCTAGTTTACTACTCCAGCAAGTAGGTCGAACCAAAGTAACAACCTAACAACAGATGCATTTTCTAGTCCCTGGAGAGTGTGCCAGCCAACTTGAGCTTCTAGAGATAGTGGGGTTTCCCAAACTAAATAAATACCCCAGACATAAACACAAAAGTGCTTAGCTAGCCACCTACAGATTAAGCTACTACATCTACAAACGTCAAATGTATTTTTAAGCTAGTATAGCGCCGTGTCATCGGCAAAGCTGATGGAGGATTCCAGAGGATGCCAAACATTCCCAATAATTCAAGAGCATGTTTCAAAAGTCAAAATTGATTTAAGAAAATAGGTGTAATCATTTCCAAAATTTACAACATGCTTTTAGCTGATGAAATATTCTGCTTCAATCCATATTTGCTGGCGATTTGCCTTTCAAATGCAACCTTTCAACTGCGGTCCAACTCCGGCTTGCTGCACTCCAGGGAGGCATGCACCTGTATTGATGGGGCAGTCAAGCAGCAAACAGCACCAGAAATTAAAGTTGATTTCATAAAAAATAAGACTAACTCATGTAATTTCAATGAATCACTTAGCCTATATATGTATGTTGGAGAATTTCTGCAAATGCAGTGGTTAAGAGCAAGTTCAGAAATTGTTTTATGTAAGTTAGTTATTCTATAGATGTTACTATAAGAGCTGCAAGAAACAGCCTATCATGAGCATTTGTTAGATAATTAGTTTATAAGATATCCTAACAACCCATTTTAGGTGGATTTTTGCTTATCAGCTTTTCAGGTCATTTGAAATAAGGAACAAAATGACCGGAATGTACTGACTTCATTCCTAGACCTCTGTAATTGATTAAGCTCCTTATCTTACAATGCAACATATCTGTTGTTTTTTTGTTCACATATCTTCTTCAACCTCACAGGGATGCACACTTTTATGTACTAATCTCCAAACAAGGGCAAGAATGCAGGCCGCTTACAGTCATCCTATTATCCAATTATTGCACCCCATTTTTGGGTATATCACCGGCAAGGCGCTTTTCCACCTCAGTTCACTTCACTTTCCGATTCAGACTGCATTCCCATTCTCCTCCCATCATGCCCTGTTTCTAAACTTATACTGAAGACACTCCAGTAGGGATTATCAAATAGGCCTTGAACTAAAATTAAGGGATGATTTCATCCTACTGTGTCAGAAAGGGTCTCACCTACAAATACTTACTTTGATATCTGTCTTAATTGTTGAAACTCACAGCAGCCTGTCGCCTAACTTTAATAAAAGTCAGCTATGCAATTAGCCTCAAATCAATTAAAGTCCTGCTATTGCTCATTTCTCTGCTCTGACCGATTGTGTGCTTCCAGTATCCCCTTGCAACTGTTGTGCAGCTGCTCGGTCTTTGGAAGGTAGTGTTGGAATTAGTTAAATTGTATGATAAAGCAGATGGCAGCATGTGAATTTATTGTGTTTATTTTTTATGACCTGTTGAGAGAATGTACAGGTAGAGAAGAAAGAGAGAAGATGCTGCTTACACAGATGTAAGACAGATCCCAGATCCATACCACATTTGCCTGGGTCCAGATCTTCTACATACCAGTACTACACAGTACTGTAGTAATCTCCAGGATTTATCCTCAGTCCCAGTGTCAAACATGGAACCTGAAAAAATTGAAAGCAAAAAAGTGTAATGTATGTATCACCGGTAGACTCACCACTCAGGGTGACACATTAAAAACAAAGTGCATGCAGATTACCATATTCATCACAAAGTGCATAAGTGCACAAAACAATAAGAATTTATAACTACTGTTACATTTGATCCTCCGCCAGGAGAAATCTTTTTTCCCGGTTCTCTTTGCAGTACTTACTTTTGTGCAAAAAGAGATCATAAGGAATTTTTTTCATTGTCAAAGCCCTCTAATTGTCTCTGTCTTTTGCTTCCAGGACACCATCCAAACTTCATCTAGTACATTCACTCGTTTTACAACTCTACACCTCCCATTGTAAAAACCAGGTTAGCTATTGTGAGCTGCTGACAGAGCTGGCTTCCCAGTGCTGCCCCTGGCACGTGCATGTGCACACGCACACACGGGCAAACATACAGACAAACACAAATTATTTTTCTCACATCCATAAAAATCTACACATACTGTATAGGAATACACTTGCATATATCTCTCTTTCTCTCTGTCTGTCTGTCTCTCTCACGCACAAACACACACGTGCAGTCTGATTGCAGTGGGTATATAATGAGAGGTTGTTGAGAGGGAGTGTGTGTTGCTAAGTATTGTACCTGTACCTGCTAATTAACACATACAGACTGTCTGTATGATTTCATTATCTGTGTGGCTCCCACACGCACACACTTGAGGAGAACACACATATTCGCACACACATTGTACACACAGAACACCTGTATTGCAAATACAGCATTGTCTCCATAGCGATGTTGTCAATACACTCTCAATAATCATAGAAGGAATGTAGCAGTGGGTGTCCCAGGAGTGTATCTGTGTAGACAGCGCATGTATGCTTATGTGCCAATGCACTTATGATCTTTTACTATAATTTCCACATTAAACACCAGATATCAGAGCTCACACTGTAGGATTAGATACATTTACTCCCCTTAATCTTTGGACAAGTTGAATTATTAGAATGGATTACAAAGAAACCATAACTGTAATCCATGCTGCCTGCCATTATCACATGTTTAAGTCCTGGTGTGTGCAGTTTGCCTCTGGATCTTCCTTTCCATGATGTTTTTGGCTAAAAAGCTGACACCAGATTTCCTGTGAATTGTGCTTTCATTCAATCACGTGTTGGCATGTTAGTCTGTCATATGAATAGCTTTTTTATAAAATAAAAATCAATAGTTTTTTTTTAAAAAAAACTTCCAAAACACAGAGACTGAGTGTGCAAGGATGATTGTGCATACATGTGTGTGGGTGTGCAAATGTCTTGCTTGGTATCAGACCGCCAGAAGAGGGGATTGGCGAGTGTTTGTTCTGCTTCTTAAAACAAACTCTCGAGGCAGATGAATGATATCAGGCGGTGTGATTAACAGAGACAAGGCTGAATGAAAACCTATGAGGTAGTCTTTTGCTCACTCTCAGTTTTTTGCACTCCCTCTTTGTGTCATTCATACCCCTCCTGACACCTATGTCATGGTGAAACTTGAAGTTATGGAGCAATTCTGTGAGCTAAGGGCAACTGTGGAGAAGACTTGCAGAAAGTGACTGAGTAAACAAAAGCGGGGGATGTGAGAACAGGAATAAAGTGAACAGTATAGAGGGGATGAGTAGAGGACAGCTGAGGCAAGGGGAGGAGGAAAAGAATGAAATAAAGTCATCTCAAGCCACTTTGCTGTTATGCCACTGAAGTGGCCACAGATGCTGGCAGTGCCTCTAAGTGCTAGAGCCAAGCCCCTCTTTCCCATTAAGAGTTGGAATAAACTATTTATCTTTATTATATACACTCATCTGTCAAAGCTATTGAGGAGGTCCAGGGTCTGCATTCATCAAATACAAAATGTATGTATATGTATTTTAATGTTTTAAATATTTAAACTACATGAGGCATGGTTGATTTACAGGTTTAAACATTCATTTTTGTTCTCTCTTTAGTAATATAATATGTACATTTTTCATCTCAGTGGGTTTAATCTGGGAATTGTTTTAGCTGCGCTGATTCGAGGGATATGTGTGGTTTAAGCGGTGAAGCTCTTAACTGCTACAGAATCTCCAGAGAGGCTGTATCATCAGGAAATCTACAGAGTCTGCCTTCTGGTTTACCAAAATCAACTTAGCATTAAGATCAACAGTAAACGGCCTGTCTGTTAAGAGACTTCCAACTGTTTCACTTCCAACTCTGTGAGGACCACACAGTTTTCTCAAGTGCAGTCCAATAGCAAAATACAGACTTGTGAATCTGACGTCAGAGCTGAGATGTCTCTGGGAAACTCGGTGCCCTGTTGTCTCCCACGTGCCTATTCAAGAAGCACATTGTCGCCGCAGCCGAGAAGTGGTGGGTAGAGTTGGCAGGCTCAGCAGCCACAGAAAAAACTTAACTTGCATTTGGTTTGTGGCTGCTGATGAGTGCGGCCACATTGTCTACTGTGTGATTAAGTTAACAGGTGTTGCTCACCAAAAAGAAAATTGGGAACTATTCTATTGTTATAATGTTACTGAGATATTGTTCTCTGCCCTTATATAACATTCTTTAAATTCTTCCAGGGCGGTGGGCAGTCCGCTGGTGATGGACCCCAACAGCATTTGCAGGAAGGCAAAGCGCCTAGCGGGGAAGCAGGCTGAGCTGTGCCAAACTCAGCCAGAGATTGTCAGTGAGGTGGCCAAAGGAGCCAGGCTGGGTGTCAGGGAGTGCCAGTACCAGTTCAGGTACCGCCGGTGGAACTGCACCAGCCACAACAAGTACTTTGGCAAAATACTGCAGCAAGGTGAGTGAAAGAAGAATGTGTTTGGCTTGTTGATAACTAACTTTGTGTCTCTCTTTTTCCCCTATTATCTAGTATGGATTTCCATTCATACATACATAAAGCAATACTTTGACATTTAAGGAAAGGCTTATTCACTTCTTGCTCAGAGTTAGATGTGAAGATCAGTGCAACTCTTTTATCTGTCTGTTCAATATGAGGCTGGCAGCAGCTTAGCTTAGTGAAGACTGGAAAGAAAGGGAGCCCTACTCCGTCCAAAGGTAACAAAAGTTGCCTACAAGCACTCTAGGGCCCTTTCACACCTACCTTGTTTGCTCCAGACTTTTGGACTTATCAGCTTGGTCCGATCCAAAATTGCAGGTGTGAAGCCTCCCACAGACAACGTTCCAAACCAAACAACCGAGCCTTGGTCCAATGAAAAGGGGCAGTCTCTGTCCAGATCAAACTGAAACATGGTTTGGTTAATTTCTGGTGTGATAACAGATTTTAGATGGATTCAACATTTGGACCAATTACAGGAAGTTTTGGCAGGCTACCATAATGTGATAAGAGTAGTGTAGCTCCTCAGCATGTAGTGTGTTTGTATGTTGTGTAGTGACAGAGAGAGTGATGGTGGCTGGGCTCAGAGCAGACAGGTGCTCATGAGCAGAGCAAATTGTAGTAAATGTGCAGTGTAGGTTTCAGTTTATCCATGAACAACACAGCATAACCAAATGAACTGTGGTAGCACATGGGGAGTGGAGAAGATGACTTTATAAAGAGTCAGCTGGAAAAAAAAACTCGAAAAAAATCTGACTCTTCTCAATTACTTTCCAAGAGGATGAGAGAGAGGGGAGACGAGAGGACAGGAGAGTGCGTCTGCAAACTGGTCAATGTCAGGGATAGGGAGACACAGCTTAAGTAGGTGATGACACCAGGGCATAGGTGTGTCATGTATGGTTCTTTAGTGCACTTGCATAATTGCAGTTAGAAACCAAAACTAACCAGATTAAATGTATACAGTGTAACAAAAATGCAGACCTTGGTTCAGACTTTCATGTGTGAAAAGGGTTGTAAGATCACTAACATGTTATTTGTTCTATGTTTAATCTGTACAAACAAGGAAGTGTAAAAACAGCACTGTGGTTTCATGGGGTTGGCACAATGACTTCTTGAGGGTTACAGCAATATATGTAAGATCTTTCATATCAATTAGTGAGCTTTGGTGGTGCTTGTTGACAGATTTTGTTGCCTGTGGGAAGTGCTAGGCTAACCCCTGTTTATTTTTGCGAAGCCAAGTTAACTGCATCCTGGCTCTGTAGCCTTATATCCAATGGATACACATGAGAGAAGTATCAGTCTTCTCATAGTACTCTTGGCAAAATTTCCAAAACATTGAATTTTTACTTTAATACACACACAAAAAAAAACAAAACTGTCTTTTTCATATTTTCATTTACTGTTAGGTGGCAACCTCTAATGGCTGTAATAATTTGGATGGGAGCAAAAAAGTGATGTGATGTAGTTAAAATTAGAAAGCGATTAAGTCCATGTAGGGAGGCAGCTGGGGTGGATGGATGGGTCAAACACAGGACTTTAACCCAGGAGACTGTTTTTTTAGTGCTTTGTGAAACCAAGGGCAACGTTAATTATGTTCATTTACGTACGTAACTTAAGTACACACATATGTGACTTGAGTTTAGTATGTTTTATAAGTTAGGTAATAAACATGCTTATTTTAACACAAACCATGATCTTTTTTCTCAGCCTAACAAAGCAGTTTTGGTGGATTATTGGGACTGTTTTACAATGTTAACCACTTGTTTAAAACTGAGACCCTTACTATGTGTGCCCATCACTGGTACAATGGGCATACATGTCATATATTTTGGGAGTCTTTGGCAAATTACCTATGCTGTTGTTTAGGTATGAGGACATGTTGAAATTGAAACAGATCACACCAGTTATTTGGATTTTGTCAGAAACTTAAAAAGAAAAAAAGGTGCATGTGACTCATTTCTATGGATGTTTTTTACCCTTGACCTGGATGTACATAGCTGATGGAGGAGATATAAATTCCCACAATCATCTTTGTGGCTCACTCCATCAGTCCTTCCAAAAGCCTGTCAGAGGGTTTTTAAAGAACACATTAAAAATATTGTCATGTTCCATTTTTCAGCCGTGAGTACCTTAGGATCTGAACCCGTGGCCTCATGACCGCAGTTGACGGCCTTACGTCAACTTGAGGTCAGATCCCTGTCTGATGGCACTCCAACAGACAAGGGCAGCTGTTGTACTTCAGACCAGACGTATTCACACTTGACTGACTCTCCTCTTCATCAGATTGGGCACGCTTGAAATGATCAGCGAAAATTGCCCTTTTCTCTTAACATCTCTCGCAAGATCTCTTAACATCTTCCTCCAGCTCTTTGAAGTCTGTAATATAACTGATGTTGGGTGACCGCTGGGTCCTCTCCAATTACTGTGTTGGTTTTACTCTTGTATGATTAGATTCATAGAGAGCTGCCTGTCTCTTCTTTGACTGCGACTACAGAGAGCCTTTATCTCTGTGTTTCATAAACAAACAGGGAATAACTGATATTAATATACGACAAAAAATGTGTCAAGCATGTTATTAAAACCATTTTGGGTACCATTGCTGGAATATGTGCATACTGAAGTTTTGTGCTCGCCTGTCATTAACGTCTCCATTAAGTGGCACTTGACATTTTAATCATATTAATTTTCCATGGCACAATATAACAGTCAATACTGAATTGTTATTTTCAATCTCCTGAACTGTTTACATCAAAGCTGCACAACCTTCCCATTTTCGGAAAATTTGTGATTACTTCTTGGCCTAAGTATACATAAAAAAATGTACTTTCTAGGCAGTATAATACTGTTTGACTGTGATGCAAACTTTTGAGATCAATCATTTTCCTGTTGTTGGTCTCTGCTGAGACAAAGACATGAAATTGACATTTTACATTATTCAAAAATATGTAAAATAGCAGATGAATGTTTCCAAGAAATGTTTTCCTTGATCTGTGCCAGAACTTTGTACTGTAAAACAAGTCTGTTATCATTTGTAAATGGTAAATGGACTTACCACATGGAACCTTTCTATCCACTCAATGGGCTTTACACTACATGCTACATTCACCCATTCACACACACTTTCACACACTGTTTGCAAAATTTGCACGGTGCCAATCTGCTCATCAGGAGGTAATCATTACATGCACAAAGATGGCACAGCTCTCAGTAGCAATTGTGGGTTCAGTATATTGCTCAAAGATGCTTTGACATGCGGACTAGAGGAGCCGGGTATCGAACCGCCAATCTTCCATCAACCTGCTCTGCCTCCTTAGCTGCTCAAAAAACAGTTTATTTATTCTGTTTCAAGGAATATGATATATGGCTGCATTTATATACCACAGTTTTTATACTCAGAAAGATAAGGTAGGATAGTGACATTTTCATTCTCAGTTCTTTGTAACTGCATGCCATTGATAAGATTTTGTTCTAAATCACATGAGCTACTGAACATGAATCCACTCAGAATTAAAACTCTTCATTGAGAGCATCCTCTCTCCACATGAGGTACTTTCAATGGTGCCACCAGAAATGTGTCATAGGGGTGGCCAGAGGGGTCCACTGAAAATCTTGGGGTGGCACACCAGAGGCAAAATCCTTAACCGAATTTCAGGATTCACTTAGGAATTTGAGCATAATTTGGCCTCACACCATCAGAAAAGTTCACATAATTTTTCAATAACTCCTGGAGCTGAGCCTAACCATAGGCTTAAAAAGCATATTTGTTTTTAATCTGATCTCTTTTGACACTGCTGGGGTTGCCAGTGTCTCTGAAAGGAGAAGAAAGGCAGAGAAAAAAAGACACAAAGATAGAGTGAGGCAGAGAGGAAGAGAGAGGGAAAAGGGGACAAGAATCTACCAGTAGAAGACAGACTTGCAATTAATCATAAATTCCTGCCTGTCTATGAAGGAGGCCAAAGTGCTCCTCTGTTTTGAAGCCTTTGTCCTCAATTACCTGGATGTGCTCTTAATGACTGTTTGTCATGAACTAGTAGCAGTAAATGTCAAAATAAAAGTTCCTTTGTGTGTTCACTCTCTAAGTGGTGTACTTAAACTCAATGACCTCTGCTTTGATTGTATGTGATATGTCTTTCGAAATTATTTTAATGACATGGGTTATTCTTTGTAGAGATATGAGACAATCCTGGTGAAGTCTTTGCAGCTTTCACTCCATTCATGTGTGTGTCCGTGGGGGTGTTGGGCACGAGCATACTGTGTGCTTTCTTGTCTGCTTTGTTTTTGATACGACTGAAATTAGAAAATATACACATAGTGGCTTTAAAGATGTAGGTCTACCTCACTTCCTCTCAGACTATTAGTGGATTGCATGTCTTACATAGCTTTAGATTATATGTTACTCTTAATCTTCCAGCTTGCAGCCCTTTGCTGAATGTTATCCATTTTAACCATGAACCTATTTAGCAGAAACGATTCATGGTCATTTTTGTTATTGTTCGCTAGCACATGGTAAATATTCTTTGCTTTTCAACATGGGATTGTGTTGTCCATGTGCTAACTGGCTAACTAGTGTCATGACGGTTGTCTGGTTTTGCCTTTTTGAATGAAGAATCCAGACTGCCGCCGTCTGCTGGTATGGAGAGTTATTTCCTTTCATACAGGCACAGAACGTACGTGCCGCTGATTGTAACCTTTGTGGTGTGTTCAAGTGCAACTTTGTGCAACATATCCTCTTAGAATGGCTCTTTTGGTATCTCATGAAAAATATAATACACATAGTTTATATAATATCTTACAAATTAGTGCCCCTACTGGCAAATAAGGTCACTTAACATAACATGATGTCATGTTATGTAACATAATTAGAATTATTTAATTAATTAGATTATTAGAAGTGGCATGATGAAGTGATGTGTCCAAAGATAACTTGTGGACTTTTTTTTTTTTTTTCGGGACACAGACCCCTG